TGAAATTGGAGAAAGTTGTTGTGATATAAGAAATTTGTTAAAGCAAGTGAAAGATTCAAAAAGGGTGAAAAGATATATAACTTGAACCTTATGAATGTCTTCTACAAGGTCATTCACCATATATCCAGCTTTTACAGTTCTACAAGAGTTAGAAGTACTTTGGTTTAGCATTAAAGTACTATCATTATCAAACTCTTTCGAGTAAATAGGCTTATCTACTTGCCTACTTACATTATTCTTCTTACTAACTACTAATGATATATCTTTTAGTAAGATAATGGCTGCTTCAATATTGTTTGTAGAAGACAAATTTATTGAAAAGAAGACTTAAGAAAGAGTGAGTCTAATGTAGGAATAGTGTTGAAATTGAGATTAAGTTTTTTCTTGAGGAAATCTTCTGCTTGGGGATAAGCAGTTTCTTGTAATATTTGAAGATTTGGGAGAAAGTTGGTTATTGGTTTTTAATTATATCATAATATGTGATAACATGTGCTAGAAAGTGAGTATCAATAAGTTTATAGGTAAAAAGTTGATAGCATCATTTTTGTCTTTGTTGAGGATATTGTAGTTTTGTGTGGCAGTTGTATGATATAGAGAAAGATATTCATAGAAGTAGTAGCTATGGCATCTTGGGCTGGAGGAAATATTGTTTAAAGAGTATGCTTCCTGTTTTGTTGCTTTAGCTAGTTATTCTAAAACTTTAGTAAGACAAGGTTTGGTAAAGGCAGCTTCATGATTTCTATTGATATAGAATAGAGAGAAGTTGAGAGTAGGTTGTTTAAGTATTTCAGATTCCTTTTTAGAAAAGATGTTAAGTGATTGGTTGAGTATATTCTTATATAGCTAGTTTCAGTTGTAAAAAAAATTTTCATTGAGATAAGGGCAGTCTTTGCTATTACAGGAGAGCATATAAAAGTTGGTTGCTTTAGTAGCTTCATGTTTAAGTTAGAGAGGGCCTTGTAGTTCTTGGAATTTGAAACTATTAGGTAGTAATTTAATTAATTAAAAGATGAGTTGTTTATAGATTTTGTTTTTAAGAGAAAATAGATTTTTTTTTCATTAGGTGGTGTAGTAAATTGGCAAGCATAATTCGAGTAGAATTTGTTAAACTATTTTTTGAAGTAATCTAGTGAGTTTTTAAGAGATAGAATTTGGTAGTTTTGAAAAAAAGTAGGTTCAAAAATATTGAAAAGAATTTGAATGTTAAATTTGGGATCTGATTTAATTTCAAATAATAGGAGATCTTCATTAACATGTCCTATTGATGATTTGACTTTGGGATATTTGGATCTAAGATCAAAATCTTTGGCAAATTTTTTTTAGTTAATTGATTAATAATTGTTGAACAGAAATAGATGAAGATGTGCAATGTTAAGACAAAGTTGAATATGGTTTTGGATCTTATATAGAGAGATTGTAATGGGTGAAGCAAAAATTTCTCTGTAATTAAGTTTGGTAAAGAGAATGATTGTAAATTGAAGGATGATGTTTTTAAGTGTATTTTCTAAATATTTAAAGAAGATAGTTGTATTTTTATTAATATAAGAGTTGTGATTGAAGATTAAATTAGTGAGAAATTTTGAATGAGAACTAGCTATGGTGCGAATAAGATGTTTGAAGGATGCTTTATATGTGGGTTGATGTAGTTTATCAGGTTTGATTTTCTTTCCAGAATAGAAGTGGTAAAGATACTTTTTAAGAAATCTGAAAAGCTAGTAAGACAGTTTAATTTGCAGTTTTTTATTAGATTCCATATCTGCAGTAATAGGAAAGTTTAGAAGCCAGTCATATAATGAATTAACTTTGGGTTTATCAGAAGGGAGAGAAGTATTAGATGGGTTTTGGTCTTGGTCTTGGTTAGTAGTTGGAGATTGATTGTTGTTATTGTTATTATTTTGGTTAGTTTTTAGAAAAAGAGCACTAATTTGTTGCTTTTTTAAGTTATTATCTTGGTGTTGATCATTATTAAGATCACTGGATTGTGTTTGGGAAATAATATCAGAGTTGCTGAGAAGAGATAAAGGGAGATCAATTTCCATATTAGAGCTGTTTGGGTAAGGCTCCAGTAATGAGATAAGTGGAAACAGATTGTTGAGAGGGTTGGCTTGTTTGGTTTTTGGAGTTTGGGTTGGGGTAGATATAGTATAAAAATTTAACTATAGTTGTGATTGCAAAATAATATTGGGTTGTAGATTGGTTTTTGGAATTGGGCTATTAATTAAGGATAAAGTAATAGGATTTTTGGATTGTTGTTGTTGTTGTTGTCATAGTCATTGAGATATTGTATTAGACTGTTAGTTAGTAACTATAGGAGAGGCAGTAAAAATTGTAGAGAATTTATTAAATTGGTCAATATGTTGTTAAAGAGCTTGGTTGGATAGCATAGATATGGTAGAAGTGGAAGAGCTAGCTAAACAGCTAGCATAATAGAAACTTCCTTTTTGCTGAATGATATCACTTTGTGAAAGGTGTTGATCATTAGCAGATTTGCAAGCAATTATAACCTAGCATTTTAGACATATATGAGTATGAAGAGCAAGAGAAGGTATAGAAAGAGTATTGTTATTATTATTGTTGGAGATGTTTGTTTGGATAGTAGGGGATTGTGGAATAGTTTGTGTTATATTTTGCAATTGTTGAGCAAGTTTTTTGGTTTGATGGTTTGCAGTAGTTAGGTTAATATTGTGATTGAAATCATAAATTCAGTTATTTTGGGCAATAAATTTAGTATAGTATTTTTTGCAGAAGCAAGTAATCTGGGTAGTAAAGAATGAAGCAGAGAAAAAGTGTGTAACTTTTTGTTTGTTATAGAAGTCTTTGTTAAAGTATGCTGTTGGCTGAAAGCTTTTAGGAATAGAAATAACAATATTAGGTTTATTCTTGTAGATTGTTACACTATAGTTTCTAGAGTATTTTTGATAAAAGTAGTCAAGATCTACAGTATCAGGTACTTAAGCTATGAGAGTAGACATGATAAAGTACTAGTAGGAAGGGGTTCGAAAAAGGGTTAAAAAAATAATAAATATATAAAAAACACTAATTATAATTTTCGATATTAAAAAATTTTAAAATTTAAAAAATAAATTTTTAGTAAAAAAAAAGTTATTTGAAAAACAAAGAAGAGTTTAAAAATTTTAAGCAGATTTTTAAAAGAACCTATAAATATTTTAGTAAAATTTTATTAAAAAATATAGAACTAGTATTAAAGATAAGCTATAGTATTAGTAATTTTTTATAAAAAAATACATAATTATTTACTACAAAATATATACAACTTTTTTATACAAAATATTTTAAAGATATTTTACTAGTTAGAATTTTTAGATTCTTAAATATTTTATATTAGTATATGTTTTATATATTATTATTTTAACTGCATTATTTTAAAAAAAAAAATAATTCTCAATTTTAGAATAGATAAAGCAGCAAAGAAAAATTAGATTATATTATATTTTTGTAAAAAAATTATTTTTACAAATATATAATAATATAAAAACTAATAAGAAAAAGAAAATATAAAATATTTATATTTATATTATGATATTAACTATATACAAGTCTAACCTTTTTATTATTACCTTCTATATAAGCATATTTTCTTTATAAACTCATTTTTTAAAAAACAAACTATTATTCAATATAATAAATTTAACCTCTATAACTATTATATTTCTTTACAATTATATATTTTTGTATTCCAAGTATGTAATTATAGAGATTTGACTATATTTTATATAATATTATTAGATTACTTTATTTTAGAAAAAACAAATTCTAATAAAACTAAGATAAATTCTAATAAAAAAAAATTCAAAATAATAGCTAATTACATAGCCATAATAAAATATAATTTTATAATTCTTTATATTTTATATAATAATTAAATAAATTTAATATTTTTTACTTGTTAAAGCTAAATTTCAATTTTATAAATAGATTTTAAATTAATTTCTTTTATAGAAAGTTGTTAAAATATTGAAAAATAGTATACTTAAGTACTGTTTTTTTAAAAATAGCAAAAATTAATATTTTACTACTCATTTAGTAAAAGAAATTAAAAAGAGTTGGCAGTCTATACTAAAATACTAGGTTTGCATAAGCTTAATTATATGTTATTACTATATATAAAAAAGTTTTATAGAGATGCTTGGTACATATTACTTGTTTGTTGAAAACAAAAAATCTATAAATATTTAAAAAAACTAATAACTTTACTATATAATAATATTATAAAAGAGGTGGTATTAAATTTAAATAATTTATATATTATAATATTTTATAATGCTATAAATTAGTAATAATAGATATTTTTAATTTTATTTTAATTTATCTATACATTGTAAAGAGCAAGATTAACTATCCAAAAAACAATATTAAAGTAGTGTGTTGAATTTTTAGCATTTAGATAGTTCTTGATTTATAGAGAATAAAGAAAAATATACTCAAAAAATTATTAGAATAGTGAGAATAAATTAGATTCAAAGTATTCTTTTATATATAAAAATAAATATATAAGGAAGTTCTTTTTCTATAATAAAGAGAACTCAGGTAGAGTTCAAACTCATAACACAGAATTCAATATTATAACCCTGATAAGTTAAATTTGTACAGAATTAGTACGGTAGTAGTCTAATTCTGTGATTCTGAGTTAGAGCTTTATGATATAATCTAGAGCTCTATTTAACTCCAATAACTTGGAATAAGTCTTCTAACCTCTTTAGTAGCCTGCCAATATAGTCGAAACTCTCAAAATTAGTATGCAAGCAGACAGTTTTTTTATCAATTTTGAGAGGGTATCATATTTGAAAAACATAATAAACATTATATTTATATAACAAAAATGGACTTGGTAGATTAATTTTTTATTGGTTTTAACAAGATCAGTTTTGAGGGAGTTGGCTGCATTAGGGTTTGAATATTTGACATAGGGTTTAGATAATTGATATCTTCATATTGTATATTTTCTAATTCTGAAGCAGTTAACATTTTTTCAATGTTCAATGACTGATCATGTAATTGTCAATAAAATTAAATCATTATATAAAGAATCAGAATTATTGAATTATAATGAAAATACTTCTGATTTTACGCAGAAACAAGACTATTCTTCTGCTTCCAGCGAAATGGCAGTTATGTGCCTTCCTTAATTAAGCAGTCAAAAAAGCCGAGCTCGATGAGCGTGTTTTATATTTTTCAGAAAGGGAAGC